ATTTGCAAAATATTAATTATCTATAAAGTATATATTACGTATATATTAAATATAAATTAGAAACCTATAAAAAAAAAGTGTCGCAACCTTTTAGTGAGCGAGTGTACACATTAACATTTATATATAACACGTTTTTTCATTCATAGTATACATTCATAGTGACTTTTGAATTAACTCAAAAAATATATATATTATTAAAAAATCATATAAATGGAAAGTACCCGATCAAATTTGTTTAATTTAAAGTTTTAAAGGGTATTATTTTCTGACGCGTACACTCCATACAACTTATTTGTATTTTTAAGATAAGCAGCTATTTTTTCCTTTTTAGTTTTACATGTATATTTTATCTTTTTTTTTTTTTTTTTTTTAAATCAGAACCATTCAAACGCATTATTTTCTTACTTACATTTCTACAAGTTTCTTTTTTTCTAATATTGCATTATAAGAAAGATTGAAATCATAAAATACAGAATGCAAGTCCAATCCTTTGACAATTTACAATTTGATTTATTTTAATTTTTTTTTCTGAAAGTTTGTTACCTCTTGAAATAATCACCAGTTATTACCAATATATAAGGAATTATTTTAGTATGTTGCAACTTTGTGATAAAGAAACTATTTATAGAACTATTTATCTTGATATTAACATTAATCATAGACATGAAACAATATCATATATATTATCTTTTATATTACTGTTAATAGAATTAAATTGATTTTCAAAAATAATTATCTGAAATTACTTACATGTAAAAATAATTATTTTAGCGTCGTAGATATAGATTTGACAAAAAATTTATTATATTAAATGAGATCATAGATCTTACTTTAAACTTTTGGTATTACAATTATATTGATATAATAATATATAAATATTTTTATATTGTAGTTATATATACACAAAATTAGCTTAGCAGCTTTGATATTATTTAAAAAATTACTGATATTACAATATTATTGAAAAAAAATTGTAATATTATAATGTAAAAAGAATTATTTCATTTTGTTATATTATAATATTTTACTTAATGGACTAATGCTATTTTGCGTTTTGTGATCTCAGAAGATTCTATTTCTTGCATATTCGCGGTAGTGTAGCACATAAAGAAGCATATATACAAATTCCTTTGAGATATTACATTTATGTATCGCAATAATATACACAGCGCGCGCGCGCGCGCGCACACACACACACACACACACACACACACACACACACACACACACACACACACACACACACACACACATACGCACACACGCACACAGATTTTAGTGAGAAATTCCCTTCTTA